AAAGCAAGGCAAGGCAGGGCCGACTAAACAGTTCAGAATGGCTAATTTCAATAATCTGTGTGAGTTTGCACTATAATGGTACTTACAAAGTACCTGATAACAAGCCTATGATGATGTAAGACGAGAACGACATCGGCTACCTGGGTGACAATTAGATAAGGAGTAATGATGCATCAGATTGAGGATTGATTGGCTTGAATGTGAGACATGTAACAAGCCAAGCTTTATGCTGTGTCTGACAAGTGCTGGAAAGGACAAATTTTCCATCTTCCCAAATCCCTGCAGCAAACTTTATAGGATGTCAACATTATAGGATACAGAAAGTAAAGTTAGAAAGTGTGGGTCTAATCACTGTCCAATGCATACCTGGGTAATTAATTTATGAATGTTAGGTTCCATACTGGTTCCATCAAGTTGAAAATATCTCTTACTTTATTGTATTGATGAGGACCAATGTGTTTACACGTGTAAAACAGCTGTAATAGGAGTAAATCCACTATATAATTTATAAATAATGTATAACTTCACTATATATAAATAGTTTCATTATAATCAAGGTGACCTTGTAACATTCGGAAGAATCCTTTGAACTACAGCTCATTCTTGCTTAACCAAAATTTCTCATTGAACAAGATATTCTATTTTCAAAGTCTGTACCTTAGCAATCAACTCTCTGATGTAAAGAAAGTGCTTTAAAAAAATCACAATAAATGAGAAGAAGCTCTCTGTTCTACTCATCCTGGCCATTAAATCAAAAATAATTTCCAAACTTTCTTTGCTGTAGAAATGTATGATCTTGCTTTGCCTTGCTGAGGTCTTTTCTACATTATATGTTGGTGAATTCATATATTAATTGTTTGTTATCCTCCATAACTCTGTCAAAATACATAAGATAATCCATTTAAAAGAAGGAAAGTTTTATTTTGGTTCACAATTTCAGAGCTTTCAGTTAATGGTCCCTTGGGCCTGTCACACGTGGCCCTGTGGCAGCAGAATAAATTATAATATTTTATGGTGGAGGACCTGTTCAGATCATGGCAGCTAAGAAGCAAAAAGAAAGCAAGAGGGGCCCCAGTCCCCAATATCCCCTTCAAGGCCATGCACCCAGTGATCTAACTTCCTTCTCACTTGGTTCCATCTTTTTCACATTCCATCACATCCCAGTTGTCTGGAGACTTTAACAGTTTAATCCCAGAATCCTGGGGTCTTTGCAGGGACATTCCAGATATGAGTTACAGCAAATGTTATGTTATTTTAAGTCTTACATAAAATATTTTTTTAAATGGCAAACAAAAGTTTGAGGAGTTGGGATATTTTGAATTCAGTGCTTGAATCCAAAGCAAGACAGCTGACATAAAGAACCAACTTAGAATCTGTGCAGGTTTGATAAATATTTTCATCTTGTAATTTTTGCATTTAGATTTAATGTAATCTTTGTATTTAAGCTGAAAGTTTAATCCCCTGGATTAAACAGGGCACACGTTGCCTAAAAGTGGACTGGGATGCTCATAATGTACACATGTGAAGCTGCTGATTGTATGGGATAAAAATAGAGTCAGCGAATGGAGTAGAAGTGGCACTGACTATGATGAGGACCTGGTTCTCTGTGGAAAACACCACATACTCATTCCCTTCTAAGGAACCCAGGTATTTCAATCAATTTGGCCTCCCAGGTTATTTGCAAAGTACAAAAATGAAATGTATTTAAAGTTGTATTTTAAAATGATTTATCATCTTTAAAAATTTAGACGTATGTGGTGTGAGCCCCCAGACTCATTCTCACCTTAGGCCTCCAATATTTAGAGCCCCTATTTTAATACTTGAAAATTTTAATGAAACATATAACTATCTAAACATATACGCAGTACTTTCAAATGGAACATTATGCCTAAGATTTGTAATAATTTCTACATCTACCAAAGTTATATTTTGTAGTGAATTTCATAGCCTATTACATTTATACCAGTCTTGAATTTATAGTCTCATTTTAGAGACCAATAAAATAATTAAAATAATCTAAATTATTTTCTCCGTTTTGGTTAAGATGAGATTTAGTGGTTCATATGTTTTGACTGGTTTGGTACCTGGTTTATCTTTTCCAGTATAGTATAATTGAAATGGTCAACAGCAATGACTAACAACTTTTCCCATATTTTTTTAAATAAATGAGAGCCGAAGAAATACTACACTTAATCATACATAGCAAACAATATGGAGAGTGATATACTATTTTAAGTATTCTTATGTACTATTTTTGAGAAGATTCATTGTTTTTCATTTGATTTTACTCCTGGCCATTCTCTTTTTTAAAACATCTCCCAAACTAAACTTTTTTATAATAATTACATAATATAATAATTACATATAATAATTACATAAATTATTTTTCCAAATAGACAGTTTTTCACATTTCAAATAAATAACTCTCATATTTTAGAGAGTTGCTTAATAAGGATTTCAGTGCTTTTTATTAACGTGAAAACTTAGTCTCAAGATATTAAAATTTAATTATTCAAACTGAATTTATTGGGAAAATAGATTTTTACTCTGATATGAGAGTGGAAAATGTAGTAGTGAAAATAACTACATGTGTTCTCTGAGAAACAATCAATTCTGCTTAGAAATTTATCCAAAATAATGAGTGCTTTAGAGATTTTTCTGAGAAATGCTCAGTGCTTTAGAGATTTTTCCTGAGAAATGCTGAGAATTTCAAACATTGGTTTTGATGTTACTGAGATTTTATTATTAATTATAATATTTCTTGTCTTGGTTCATGGTTCAATTTCAAATGATTATTCTGCAAATTAATAATCTGTGAAAGAACTGGTTTGCTCTTAACTTGAAGTTTAAAAATAACACCTATGATATGCTAGGGTAAAAAAACAACTTAGATGAGTAATTTTATATAAATCTCATAAGAATATTGGAGCACCCCTGATTAATAGTGAGTATATATTGTAAAATTATATCCTCAATTTTAAAGGCACTGTATTTTCTGGAATATATTCTCTGACCCAAAATTTTTAGAAGAGATTGCATTTAAATCTGCTTGGTAGATAAAATTATTTGTAGAAATTCATAGTAGATAATTAAAAACATTTAGTATCATCATAGTCTTATATACTGAAGAAAGTAGCCATTCTGTTGGAAACTATACTAATTGAAATTGAACCACTTTTGATTAAATGACTCTCTAAAACCAATTAAAATGAGAAACTGCAAACAATGTGTTAAAGTATCTTACTATAAATCACTGATGTATAGTATCAAGAAAGAAAATACTTATGCACTGTAGGAAATGGTTTATCATTTCTAGTATACTCTAATAGAAATGATCAACTCTGATGATTAAAACATTCTCCCTAAAAGGCTACAATGATTCGAGAACTATTTTTCATTTATTATGGATTTATTATAAATCTCAATTGTAGCTATACAAATATAATAAGTACCATATAAATTTATAGTATAGAAATATGCAATGTGAGATGTATAAATACTGGTAATAACTATTGATGTCAAGGTAATAAAATGTTTTTAATAATTTCTTTTAATTTTTTATTTTTATTGCTGCATTTTTGCAGTGCATAATGATTACATTCATTGTAGGGATTGATGCATGTACATAGTACATCCCAATTCTTTTCTTTTTCCCCTTCCTCCCAACCTCCTTCAATTTTGCCATCATTAGATTCATTTATCTTATAAGTAAGTCATTATAAAGTTAATTGTAATATATATAATAAGATTAATAGGCCAAAAAACATGTAAAACACATAAGATAATTACACTGAGTCACGGTATGCTTTTAGATGCATTTCCATGCTAGATACCAATTTTTTTCTCTTTTTTTGTGTTACTGATCTATTTCCTACTCAATTTACATATTGATTTTGTTTCATGTAAGAGAAGCCATGTGACCTTTAAGCATGTGTGTCTAATTTACTTATAATTTCAAGGTGCATCCATTTTTAATAATGTATTTGAAAAAGAGTAAACAAGTTTTTCCTATGGAAAGATATTTATATGTGGCCTATAGAAAGGAAGGTCATTCAGGGATCTACCCCAGAATAGTAAATGCCAGAGTGTATAAGGTGCTTATAAAGTCTCTTTCTTTGTTCCTTCTCATCCATTACCACCCCGTGTGCTTCCAGTGTCTGGTGTGGCTGATCCTAAAATACATCCATAACTCCTACCTTGGGGTATTCACTCTTACTGCTTCCTCTTTGAACTCTCTCTGCTTAAGATATTGCTGAGTACCTCCTCCTTAGTAAGGCCTTCTCTAGGTACTCTATTTAAAATTATAGCCCTCTTCTTCATCTCTCTGACTAGTTTTTTCTCCCATTGTACTTTCTATCATATTAGTCTCTTTACTCATTTATACTTTCTATTGTCGATCACCACCATAGCGGAATCTCCAGCACATTTTGTTCCACTAGTTAACTGATGTATTCTCATGTCCAGAATAATGTCTGATAAATACTGTTTAAAAAAATTTAAGAAGTAAAATCTCTTATTTTCTCTGAAACAGCATGAAATAATTGAGTCCCAGTAAACCTGCCTCATGTTGTGGCATTTTGAATATGAATATAGATAATAAAACTAGAATGCATGTGTCATGAGTTCTGTTGTTTGATCAGACAATAGACACTACTTTGTGTTATTTTAGTATCCCAGGAACTATCTTAACATGTTTACATATACTTAAATAATTTATGTCTTATAGCAACCCTGTAAAACTGTTAATGTTATCAGCTTCATTTTATAATTCAGGAAATTAGGTTTCACTTGGTCAGCAATTAGCATGTATGAAAGTATGATTCTCTCTTCCAGAAACATATTCTTAAGCAGCCTCCATGGTCTAAATGCTACTGCATTCTTGTTTTGAATAGCTTCATTTGTGTCCTTTTAATTCACTTTTACTTTTTTAACATTGGAAAATAATCATTTCAGTTGAATAATTGATATTTTATAATCATGTAATGTTTTCCCTTTTGTAGTGGGATGCCATCACCGAGATGGATGAACACAACAGGCCCATTCATACATACCAGGTGTGCAATGTGATGGAACCAAACCAAAACAACTGGCTACGTACGAACTGGATATCCCGTGATGCAGCCCAGAAAATTTATGTTGAAATGAAGTTCACACTGAGAGACTGTAACAGCATCCCATGGGTCTTGGGAACTTGCAAAGAAACATTTAACCTGTATTATATGGAATCAGATGAGTCCCATGGAATTAAGTTTAAGCCAAGCCAGTATTCAAAGATTGACACAATTGCTGCTGATGAGAGTTTTACCCAGATGGATTTGGGTGATCGCATCCTCAAACTGAACACTGAAATTCGTGAAGTGGGACCTGTAGAAAGAAAAGGATTTTATCTTGCATTTCAAGACATTGGGGCATGCATTGCCCTGGTTTCAGTCCGTGTTTTCTACAAAAAGTGTCCCTTCACTGTTCGAAACTTGGCCATGTTTCCTGATACTATACCAAGGGTTGATTCTTCCTCTTTGGTTGAAGTGAGAGGGTCCTGTGTGAAGAGTGCTGAAGAGCGTGATACTCCTAAGCTATATTGTGGAGCTGATGGGGATTGGCTGGTTCCACTTGGAAGGTGCATCTGCAGTACAGGATATGAAGAAATTGAGGGTTCCTGTCACGGTAAGAAAGAAACACATAATTTATCTTGCATATTCATGATTTTTTTAAAAAAGTAAATGTGTTCTACAAGAATTTTCAAATAAGCATAGTGTGAAGTACCTTATAATTAATTATAAAAGAAAATTCCTATTATCTAAGAAAATGTCTGACTTTGGTTATTTTGATGTTAGGAAGAATATCTCATGTTGTTTTCAGTAAAGGAGTAAACCACTATAAAATTCTGTATTCTCCATTTTTATGGTGAAAAGAAACATCAAGAGTAGTAATTAAAAGTAGTGGAGATTCAAAATAGGGATTTGTGTGTCGCTGTGTTGTCAAATTAGGGACAAAGTTACAAAATAATCCTTTTGTTCATATTAAACTAAATGCATAGCATTTTAAACTAAATTCCTCATGAGGAATTCATTCAAGTTTTATATTAAAAACTTTTAGGCTATTTTACATAGATGTTACATGTGTGGTGTTTTAATGTAGAACTTTTCAGAGCTTAATTTATACTTAGCTGCCATTGAGAAAAATTTTCTACTATAACATATTGGCTTTTAATTTTATTAACAGCATTTGGTAAGAGCTAGTTATCTAGACATATTAGCATCATATAATGATAGTTAAGTTTAGAACTATACTTTTTACATTGTCAAAACAGTAAAAATATAAAACAATAAAATATAAATAATTTTCAAGATGAAGTATTTTCCTTTTTATATTATTAACCCCTTGAGAGTTTATTAACCTGTTAAATACTTACGTTAAAATTTTATATAGATATTTCCACAATTTATATTGTATATATTGTATTTGAAATTTGGACTCATTTTTGTTGGTTAACAGTAACATACTAGAGAGATTTAGTTCTGAATGATAAATTAGGGTATTTTCCTAATTTTGAATGTATTTTTTCTTTTCATACTGTATTCATATTAATTTAAAAAGATGAGAAAAATAAGAAAAAACTTACTTGTATGAATATAAAGGGCTGAATTTTTAAAATTTTTATCTGTATAAAACACGTGGGTTCTCTACTTTCGAAAAGTTCACCATTGCTTTCAGTGATCATCATGTGTGGTAATTGGAGAATTTTAACATTAACATGAGAAGTCTGTCATATGCAATTTAGAAACCATGAACCAATGTTTCTCTACTATTTAATCACAAAAATACTTGGTTTACATTTATCAATAAAGATTGAATCTAAAGTTTTATTAACCTATACAAGGATTTATAATGCAGCAAAAATAAAGCATAAAGGATTTTAGGATTATAAAATATTTATGGAAATTCAGTAACGAAAATTTTTATACATAACCATTAGTGAAATTGGGAAGACAATAAGAGCTAGGGAAAAATATGCATAGCTACCTTGCAGTTTTGCCACATTTTAAATTAAGTAGACATTATAAACATTAATTATATTAATTGTTTAAATGTTAGAGATAGGTCAATAATAATTTATATGATTTGTTATTACTAAATATTTGCATTTTTATGGCATTGGTTAAATCAACATACCATGGTGACTATATATATTTTTTAATTTAATATGATGGAGGTGTGAAATTTCTTTTTGTGTTTTTTAGGCTTTAAAATTTCTTCAGTTATTTTACTAAGATGAATTTAGACAAATATAAGCACTAAAAGCTTAGTGCTTCTGTTTGTGTTTGTGTCTTAGTACTTTTATTATTGTTTATCTGGATGCAGGAACATGAGGGACTGGGCACAGCACAAATGTTCATCATCTTGTAGTGCACAAAAGAAACTGGGGGAATTAAGCCTGAATTTTATATCCGTGATGTACCAATACTGAAATCAGTTACCTTATCCATGAAGTATTGAAAATAATTATGATAAAGTACTTACAAAACATTAGTGTATGCTTCCAATTAAATACAGCAAATTGCTCTTTTCAAAGGGAAAGTCTGAATGGATATGGAGACCTAATTTTTAAAGATAGATATTTTATACCATTTTAAAGTATTTATGTGTGTGTTCTTGATACTTTATATGCACTTTTATTTTCTCCATTACAGTATTTTCCTGTTGATGGAAAAATCTTGGTGCTTATCAGCAAGTTATCTCATAGCCTACTCTTTGAGCTACACAATACTAAATGTCAAATTAAACTTACAGGAATAAACCATAGATCAAGTTAGTAATATGACTGCACAAAATGAGAAAAGAAAACAGCATCTTAATATCATTTTTCTTCTGCTCTATTCTGTTAAAATAATATAAACTGTTGATATTTGATAATTCTGTGACTACTTTGTCTTAGTCATTTCCATAGGTGGTAGAGATGAATATAATCACACATGCATTTCTTTTGTGTATTATCATGAGATAAAACAACACAGCTTCTTAGTTAAAGCCTCTGTTGACTCCAAACACTAAGAATTAATGTATATCAGTTATTGTTCTCCACACCTACAATAGAAAGAAGACTGAATTGGAATAATTGGAAAGGACTCTCGCGTTCTAAAAAGTAGAGAATGTAGCAATCATTGGTTCACTCTGGTGCTGAAAATCTTCTAAGTGTGGTCATGATTCTATGCCACAGGGCAGGGAAAGTTCTCTGACTATAGCCTAGTTGTCCTTCTTGGATTTGGCTCTCCTTAGCTCCCACCTTCCTTGCTGGACTCTGGTTCTGTCATCCGAGTCACTGTCCTTGTTTATACAAGTTACCTGTGTGCCAATTGCTAGTTTCAATAGCTGTCTGGAAATATTCTTAATTTGATCAACAATGATAAATATTTTTTAAAAAAATATCAGGTTATTCACTCAAAAATCAATAGCCTTCTTCTACACAAATAATAGACTCACTGAGAGAGAAATTAGGGAAACAGTTCCTTTCATGGTAGCATTCAAAAAAAAAAGAAAGAATGGGCCAGGGATTTAGTTCAGTGTTGCCAGTGCCTGTCTCGTAAGCTCAAGGTCCCGAGTTCAATCCCTGGTACCAAAAAGCATACAAAAGTAAAGCAAAATGAAATCTCTAGGAATCAATCTAAGGAAGGAAAAAGACCTGTACACTGAAAACTATAGCACTTTGAAAAAAAGAGAACAAAGAGGATATAAGAAAATGGAAAGACATCCCTTGCTCTTGGGTAAGAAGAGCCAACATAGGGAAAATGGCCATACTTCCAAAATTGCTATACATATTCAAATATGTATGCTATACATTTTGAAATCCCAACAGTATACTTCAAAGAATTAGAGAAAACAATCCAAAAATTACTGTGGAACCAGAAAAATCCTAGAACAGCAAAAAGCATTCAAGGCAACAGAGACACAACAGGGGATATCACAATCCACAACTTGAAACAATACTACAAATCTACTGTGATATAAACAGCATGGTACTGGCAAAGAAACAGACCTGAGAATCAGTGGAATAGATTGGAAGATACAGAAACAACTCCAGATATACTCACCTACCTCACTTTTGACAAAGGAGCCAGCCATCCTCAGTGAAGGAAAGATAGCCTCTTCAATAAATTTTGTTGGAAAAACTGGATTTTAACTTGCCAAAGATTAAAATTAGACCCCTATCTTTCACCATGCACCTAACTAAAATTGAAGTGGATTAAAGATCTAAATATTAAAGGAGAAACACTAAACTTGCTGGAAGATAAATTAGATGGAACTCTCAAAGGCATTGGCATAGGAAAAGACTTTATGAAGGAATCCTCAGTAGCATGGGAATGAGCACAAAGAATCAACAACTTGGATTCATTTTTATGAAGGGAAGGCAGGGGTAAGGGGAAAAATGAGAATCAAGACTTGCCATGTAGAGGTACAAGATCCCAACAATGAATGTAACTGTACTGTATCCCTAAAATGTACCAATAAACTCAATTAAAGCTGAAAAAAAAAAAAAAAGCTTCTGCACTGCAAGGGAAACCACCAACAGAGCTCAGAGACAACCTAAAATGTGGGGGAAAAATTTTTACCCACTGCTCCTCTGATAAAGGACTATTATCTAGAATAAAGAACTCAAAACAGCCCCCCCAAATATAAAGACCTAATTTAGAAATGGGCATCTGAAATGAACAGACATTTCTCAGACAAACAAGTAAAAGTAGCAAATAAATATGTGAAAAAATGTTCCACATCATTGGCCATTCTTGAGATGTAGATGAAAACAGCACTGAGATTCCACCTCACCCCACAAAGAATGGCTGCAATCATAAAATCAACCAATAACAAATGTTGGTGGGGTTGTGGGGAGAAAGGAACCCTTCTCCATTATTGGTGGGAGTGCAGACTGGTGCAAGCACTGTGCAAATCGGTATGGGGATACCTCAGAGAACTAGGATTAGAGGTTCTATTTGACCAAGCTATCCCTCTGCTGGGTATCTTTCCAGAAGAATTAAAAGGATCATACTACAGCAACATATATGCACCCATGTTTATAGTGGCACAGTTTGCAATAGCTAAAACTTGGAAACAGCCCAATTGCCCATCAACTGGAGACTGGATAAAGATGTGTTTTGTTTTGTTTTGTTTTGTTTTAAATAAAATGGAGTTCTACTCAGCCATATGGAATGAAAAACTAGAGACATTTAAAGCTAAATGGATGCACATTTAGGCAATACTCTAGTGAAATAAATAGGACACACGTGTAAATACCATATAGTTGCTCTTGTGTGAAAAACAAAGTGTATATGATGTTCAAACTGTACAATTGATAATGTGAAATAGGAAGAAAATGGCTACAGGAGTAGGGGAAGTAGGAAGGGGAGGGGAAAGGGGAGAAAGGAAAAGAAAAAAAATCTGAGAAAAGGAAAAAATGGAAACAAAGTCTTTGTAAATAGGGATGGGTGGAGGGGGTGAAGGGTGGGCAGGGGTATGGGGAAAAAGTAAGAACAAAGATACATCACATAAAGGTACAAGATCACAATGATGAGTTTAACTACTATATACTTAAAATGTCACAATATACTTAATGAAAAAAATGTCTCAGGTTATTACAGACTATATCCTCACCACTTATTTTTATTATATAA